TATGGAACATTTACAAAAAATATAAATTTTCAGCCAAGGCGATCAGGCTTGATGGGTAAATCGGACGCAGAGGACGAAGAGACACCCAGGCCAGAGCACAATGTGAAATCGACAAGTTCGGACTCAGGTATAGGTCAGGATATCCATGATAGGCCTGTCGGAAGGTCGCACAGTATGCGAAATCGTGTGGTACGTGAAGGAGCTTTCGTCAGCACATGTGTTGAAATGTCTCCCCTTCCTTCATAGGCGACGATACCCCAAATCGCGGATGAGCGATCGGGAAAACGTGATCGGTCGACTCCATCGTGGGGCAGTGATCTTCCTCCAGCTGATGAAGAAGAAGAACCACCAAGGCGAGTGCGTACAATCGAGTCAAGATCTGAAGCGAGGCGAGTTTGGGCAGAATTTCAGAACTGTTGACTATAGGCTTTGGCTTGCCTCGAAGCAGATAATATTAAGTATTTTTTTAAGTATAAAGATGCGAGGAAACCTCATGTTGCTATGTTTTACTTATTATTAGTGTAGTGCGGAAACATTTGTTTTGTAGAAAAAATGTTAGCGTTGAATTGGCATATGATTGGCATATGATGGTCCGTTTTGAGAAATTGTCAACTTCATCCTATTTATAGTCTATTTCTTGAACCAAAATGCTTGTAAAATTGTACAGGAAGGATAGCTCGTAACGCATGCTTCTTAACAGCCTCAGCATTCCAGAGGATTTTTAGCTTTCATAATTAAAATAGGGGTTAATGTTGATTTTGGTATTCAGGATTCTCCCAACCATCTGAACATGTTACAGTTTCATGCTTTGAAAGTATGTGTAGCAGCAGTAGTGCTCGCTCTTTTTCAATTTCAATTAAAGATAGCGATTAGATTGTGTTGTTATCGAAGCTGCAACAAAGTAACTTCAAGATTTTTAAATGTCTTTACAATCGGGTTTTCGCTTATCATTCTACAGCTCCTTACTACAAATCCAGCAATTACGATAACTGCCTTGAATCATATGAACTCAAAAATCATCTAAAAAACGTCAGGTATCAGTAGCTAAACAACTTGAGACACTACGCACTAGTTTTTCTATATTTGACTAGGATTTTATAACTTAAGAACTGTTTAATAGTTTTTGTTACTAGAAATAGTTGGTGCTATGGGGGTTATATGAGTATCATCAGATTTGCAGATCGCTCGAAGGGAGTCGCATTGCGCTCGATGTGCAAAGTAACAGTGGAAGCTCAACGAGCATGTCACATACGAGCATAATGGAGGAGGAGGTACTGTAGACTTTCTTTGTTGAGTCAGCTGAACGTTGTGTTTTAGTTCCAGTCGAAACGTGTGATTGAACGAATGC